GAGAATTGTAACACCCCAATTTAGGGGCTAAAATTAAGAAATTATAAAGTGGCGGATTTAATTGATATTTTGAAAGAAACATTGGGGATTAAATTATAAAGTTTTAAAGTTGGCAGACCATTTTATAAAGTGCAGGAAATTCAGTGGCTAAAACCATGATTTAACCATTTCTTATATATGATGAATTATAAGCTCCTCCCCGTGCGCAGGTTTCATATTTTCCAGATTTCCCTTCTCCAACAACCCAACTTCCAACTCCGATCTACTCGCCGTCCGACCTCCAAACGACGAGCCGAAACCACCATCGTGTTCGTTGTCAATCGAGGAACAAAACCCCTCAAACCTTTCGTCGTGAATCATCGCCGTTCGTCGTGAATTTCAGTCGGAAGTATCGTCGGTAATAAGTCGGTTTTAGTTGGTTTTTCATCGATTCACGACGATCGGGTCATCTGTTTACGACACCTCCCGCACCATCGTGTTTGTTGCATCGTTCTGAGTTTGCCGATGTCATCCTTAGTCTCCGTCGACGGCGGCGCGTGAGGAGGTGAAGCGGTCAAAGTTTCCGATTTGTTGAAATCGAGCTCTCCGCCGTTCAAATTTGTGAACCGAGCTTTGTAAGTATCTCGAAATCGCTCAAAATAATTTTTAGAAATTTTTCCAGGATTTTAGCACTGTTCACGCGCCCCCACGCGCCGCCACTGCGCGTGGGGAAGAAAAAAATGATCGGTTTGACCGGTTTTGGTGCATAGTTGACCGGTTTGACCGGTCACAACCCGACCCGAACCGTTGACCCGACCCGACCCGTTTACCCGACCCGTTTACCCGACCCGACCCGTTGACCCATTGACCGTTGACCGTCGTTGACCATTGTTGACCAAAACTTTGACTGGCTTTGACCGGGCATTAAACGACCTTTGACTTCGACCGAGTATACCTATCCTGACATTTTTCAACGTTCCAAATCCGATTCTGCTGTCCGTTTTTCGAAATTCGAACCCGAATGCCTCGAAATTTTCGGTCAAACCCGTTGACTTTGATTTTGACCGAAAATTCCAAATTTTTGAAAAGTCACATTTTATGCTTTCGACGTCCTGAATCTGAATCCGAAGTTCGTTTCGCCAAATTCGAACCCGGTAAGCCGTATTTCACTGATTTATCACCCGATTTGATCCGTTTATCGCAATTAAGCTTCGTTTCTGATATAATTTATGTTGATATGTATCTGAGGAATTATTTGAAGTTGAATTGAAGATCAAAGGCATTCGAATGGAATTTTTATGGTCGATCGGTATTGCACGGAAATCGAGGTAATACTTTACTACCTCTTTATGCTTTATGGAACATGTTGATATTGGTGAATGCATGAATAAGATAATGTTGGTCACTTTTGTGGAGTTGAATAATTTATTCACTCGATATGAATGTGGTAGAAATTCTGTAACTGAATACGGATCGAATGACTAAGATAAGAGATTGATAATTGTTAGAATTAAATTACAAGTTTGTGATTGGTGATAAGAAATCAGCTCTGGATTTGTAACTTATATTTTATATCATCAAGGGTTAAATGTTAAAGATACTTGGATGAAAAATTATGAGAATACTCCGATATGGTAAAATTACGAAATTACCCTTATGTTGGAAAATGATAAGAATTGCCACTGGAAGTTGGTTAATAACTCTGAAAAGACATATTGATCCGATATAACTACTGATGTGCATAAGAAATGTTAGTTTTATTTGGAAATTATGGATAACCGGTTTTAATCCTATGAGAGTTTGTGAAGGAATCATTTCAAAATCAAAGAATGTTCGGGAAAGCAATTGATCATAGGATCTCTAAATTATAATTATTTTCGTTAAGAGCTAATATTGAAATTATCTGGTTAAGAAATTACGAAAATGCCCTTGAGAGATAAAATAGTCTGAATTGACCCTGAATGAGAAAGTACTTTGAGGATTTGTACTTAACTCGATTAAGTACGAATTTAATTGTTAAGATCCTGTCTTTGTACAGAAAAATTTATAATATTCCGTTTGTAAAATCTGAGAAGACACTTGACCCGAAAATATTCGAATAAGGATTAAATACTTGAAGAGTAATTTATCGGAGGTATTTTGCTGACAAAATTGTTCGAAAGGACTGAAGTAAATGATAAGATTGAATTAAATAATAAGACCGGATGGAAGGAAATGATTGAAATATTCTAGAATTATAAAATGACCAAATTACCCCTGGAATGGAAATGACTCAAGAATGTCACCAAGCTCAGGAATGAATGGATATACTCAAGCTTTGAAATGAATAGAAAAAAATGTTAAGCACCAAAATGCCCTTATGACCTAGAATAAGTAAATGTCTTGGATTAATTAAGAAATCCAAATAAACATGGATGTTGTGCTACCAGTAAAAGTTGTGGAACGCAACTTAAGTGATTAACCAACGTTAGTACTATATCATTACCTGAATGATATAAGTATCACTTGAATGTTTGTTCATCTTCTCAAGTTTGGATCGATGATAATTCTGGAAGTACTTGGGGCAGCTCAACTCTAGAGCGCATACATTACTAATAAGTGGGTAGTCGTTAGTCAAATCAACCACGAATACCAGAATGACTTTATTATATAAATAAATTGAAATGAAATAAAGTACAACGTGTATTTGAAATTCAGAAACGTCTGAATTATTCTGGAAAACTTTAAAGTAATCAGGATAGACTTGCTTACCAAACGAACTAAGTAACATCAATGACTAAGGATTAAATAGGTGATTTGATGAGTTTGGAAACACTGTTGAACTTACATGATGAATTGCCATTATGGGTTATGAGCCATGGATCAAGTACGTCAGTATTTCCTGATATTGTTGAAACGTGGAAATGAAATAAAGACCGTTGGAAGATTTATTCAGTGATGATTATGGGGATGATCTATGGATCTGCACTATGGTATTAAAGAGTGAATACACTGGAAGGATAATGAATTGACTTGTTGACATGCATCAGTTTGAGAGTTGTGTAACTCGAGTTGTTTGATAATATGATCGATAGTCGTAGATTGTAAATGACTTGAATCTTCGATTCTATATTTCATCTAAAATCACTTCGGTCATGTTTGAAAAAAAAACAAGTAACGCAGATGGAAAAGATTCTGAATATCTCATTTGGTTCAATTGGGCTGAAATCCTATGAATTTAAAGTATATTCCTGAATACCCCTGATTGTTTGGGTAATGGAATCACTCGCAGTAAATCTGAATTTAGAATTATTATGTATAAAGGTTCCTGAACGTTTTCCTAAAGCACACGAAAATATAGTGGGATTCTAATGTATCAACATTAAATGTCTGGCTAGATCGGTTAGTAATTGATTCTCCTCAATAGGACCTTGTTCCAGGAATTCGTTCAAATTTCATAAGTTTCATGTTATCCAAAATGATAACTACAATGGCCTCTGGAAATACTTGGATTCTCTAGTGTGTTCCCTACTTATTACTGAACTGTTTTATTAGTTTTAATATGTGGTACACCGAATTCATTGGTTATTGTTTTATGGATGCACCAATTTAATGTGACAATTTATGGAATATGGCTGCTATCTAATTTTTGTTTTGAAATGTTATATGATTACCATTTTTTGGATTTATGGAATTTATGTCACGGTGCAATTGAATTTTGGAATTGAATTACGATGGAATAGCTCTAATCAAGCTAACTGGGCCTAATGTGACTCTTGAGGGCCCCAAGATGTTTCATTAGGTCGGCTTTCCTTTGCTGTGTGCTTAGGGTAAGCTATATGGACTTATTGACTTGGGCTTAAGGATACAAGCTTCATAGCCTATCCTTAAGTCGGCTTTCTTTTTTCTATGTGCATAAAGTAAGCTATATGGAAAATAATTTTTGGGAACTACTGATGGTGTACCAGAAAAGGGTTTAAACTATGATTTTCAAAAGTTAAACTCTTTTACGAAATTGTGAGAGTTACTGGACTATGATTTGTACCTATTATGATTTTATTATACTGTTGGAACACACTAGACATCCTATTTGATCTCCTGAAAATGTCATACTTTGAAAGGTTTCTTATGAACTGAGATTCATGGCTTCTACTCGATGAACTTCTAAGGGAACCCCAAATTATTCTGCCAGCTGGTATACGTATGATTCAATAAGGAAATTATATGGCTTTCCATTTATCTACATGTCATGTAGCATCATCTGGTAGTTCTGTATTACTGAACTTTCCAAAGCTCACTCTATTACTCACCTTTTCAGGTTAAAACAATTGTACCAGTGCATCTATCGACTTCAGTAAAGGAGTTCTTCCGGCGTGGTTGCAGAGTATGGTACTTGTGATTAGGGGGCATGTAATTGTATTTTGATTTATATACGAGTTTGGAAATCTGTTTTATTTTTAAATAGTGATAAATGATTTTATAAGTTTACATGTTCTGATAAAAAGTTTTAAAATTTCCGCTATTTTTACGGTGGGTCGCTCCGGTGGCCCTAATGTGACTTCCCGAATCGGATCGGGCTACCCGCATCAGTTTGGGGTGTTACACTATTTGTTATGATTTTTTTTTAAATTAATCACCGATATTCTATCTATTGACCAATTAATTCAGATTGAGTACTGTAAAGGCAAGGGTAACCCTCCCAACCCAGTTTGCTCCATTCGCAAACGTCAGGATTCGAACTCTTGACCTTACTTAAGGGACCTAAAACCTCATACCACTGGACCAACTGATTGTTAGGTATTTGTTATGATTTTAGATTGTCGTTAAATTGAAGTACGCACAAGTTATTTTGTTTTTTCATTCTTTAAAGAAATTCTTATTTAAATAATTGTATTAAACACCTATTATAACCACCAAAATAGATATGGAAGCAATAAATGAAATAAATAAATTAGAACAAATAATTTAATCAATGGATTTATTTTCTTAAATCAAAATAAAATAACGTAACTATACTATTTGCTATTACACTTATAAAAGGCTCACGTATCTCTATATTTATTGTTACATTGCTCCAACGGAAAGCAAAAGAAAAAGAAAACTTGTTTTTCTCTGTGTCTCAAGAAAGAAGAATTGGAAGAAGCTCTTTGGCTATGGCTGCCGACGTTAGTTCTTCACACATAGTTTTAAGTGGGTACAAGGATGATCTAACGGTGGGGAATGGATCTGTTGGAGGAAACCCGACGGCTTTGATTACTAGAGACTTGCTTGGAGTCGGAGGTGGCGGCTCCGCCTTGACCGGTACCAAAAATGATGAATCCCAAGAACTCGACCTCGACCTCCATGTCCCTAACGGTTGGGAAAAGCGCCTTGACTTGAAGGTACGAACTGTTCTTGTTTAATTATTTTCATATCGATGAAACAAAAAATGATTTTCAGTTTTCGCTTGAAAATCATTAATGGAAGTTTTTTTCCTTGTTATATGAATAAGATCCTTTATCAGCTGATTTCACTTATTAAGATTATGTATATTAATCTATTGTAGAATTATTTTACAAGTTTTTTAATCAAATTTCTTCATGTTAGTAGATTTTTCTACTATCATGGTTTTTAGGAAATAAATATGATTTGTTTTTAATTATTTCTCTGTTCTTGCCAAATCCTTCTGTTTGGATGCTGAGAAAATGATGAAGGAATTGGGAGATTAAATCAGCTTTCACTCTCAAGAAATTCAAACAATTTTATTGCCTCGTTAATTAGTTTCTCCAACTGAAATAAGCCATGATAATCAGATTCTACATAAATATTAGATGCTAGTATAAATCCATTCATATTTTTAACATTTTACTTCCTTGTATAAATTAATTTTAATGAGCAATCAATTGCATTAAAATTTGCATTTATTTACCTTAAAATTATTTTACTCTTTAATACTCAGGAACTTCAAATGCCGCCTGCTTCTTTTAATTATTATAACTTCTATTTGAATCTTCGCATTAATTGCAGCTTTTTCTTCAACATCCTGGCATAGATGAATTTCAAAGGCGTTTTTGTTTAATTTATTTGATTCATCCTCTGATTAATCTATGATTCAATTTATTAATTTGTGAGTCGTTGCAGTCTGGTAAAGTGTACTTGCAAAGATGCAATTCAACAAATTATTCTTCTTCGTCATTGTCCGATGGGACTAAGCACCAAACGAATCAAACTGTGGCAAAGCTTCAAGATTTAAATTTCCCGGCATCGCCATTACCTTCTTCTAGACCTTTGCTAAACCTATTTGATGAGAGCAGCCTGGAATTGAAATTAGTCTCTCCAGCATCATCAAGCAGTTACCACAGCGTGTGCACACTTGACAAAGTGAAATTCGCCCTCGAAAGGTTTGATAAAGAACCGGTAAAGAAACGAGCATTACTACCGTCGTTGTGGAAATCGCCCTTGTCGCCTTCGTATTCTTCGTCATCGTCTTCCATCAAAGATTCACGAGAAGATGAATCAGGGGAAGAGAAACTTGCATCGCCGGTTGCGGCCGGCTGCCCCGGTTGCTTATCCTATGTGTTGATAATGAAACATAACCCTAAATGCCCTAGATGCAATACCCTTGTTCCTATTATGCCTGATTCTAAGAAGCCTCGCATTGATCTCAATATATCGATTTGATGCTCAACTATAATTTTGTAAATGATAGATGAAATAGATCTTTGGCAAAAGTGGGGTATATGTATATTGGATGGTGAAGACGACAATTAAATAAACAATTCCGATATTTATTTAAGAGATGTATCAAACATATCACTTGATCAATCAATAATTTATAGATTATTAAAAATTAAAAATATTATGCCCAAAACAAATTCAAATATCTTTCTATATATTACAATAATAATATAAATCAAATTAAGATTTAATTCAATAAATTAATTATATGTAACAAATATGGTTCTTGGCAACAAAAGCTGAACCACGGGCAAGTTCGTTCACCTTTGGATTCTGATCCAACTGAAAACGAAAGAAAGCTTAACAAAACGCTATAAAGTCTAAAACCATTAATTGAAAATCAATCGATCATTAAATCTCGACTTTGAGTGTTCAACAATTCAGCCTTAATTTCGCAATGGATTTAAGGCATTTATCGTACCACATAATATGGTTGAATCATATAAATGGTCTGAAAACTGTATTCAACTACACTTCGTCAAATGATGAGCTTTATTACGGTTGCTGTAATACTACACCAACTCATTAATATGCCTAACGCATAATAAATGAGAATTCAATTTCCCCTTCATGGGCTTTCAGGTTTTTCCACCTACCTTCTCATCTCAATTTTTAATGTCACGTTTTCATATTAATCCATGTACTTCAGAATATGAGCGAGTTTTATTTATTTCATTGTTTTGAATTAAGATTAAATTGATAAAATATATAAATTTAAAGATTAAAATTATTATTATGTCAAGATTATGTTAGATGTTTGTTTCGATTTTAAATTTTAATACTGTAATAATATATTTATAATAATAATTTCCGACTGCGTAAAAGATGGGGCCAAAACAGCCTGTAGCTTTTTAAATTGCCACAAGTAATCAATTTCCGACTGGTCAAAGGAATTCGAAGACTTAATTCTTTTATTGCAATTTATAATCATTATATTTGTGTAATTTTCTATTATTTTTGCTGGATTAATTTGTCTTCAAACCTTATTCAATTCAGCGGTGAGTTCTATTTCGATTTAGTATAATTTTTTAACATAGAAGCTGTTGATTTATTAAAAAGATAAAATATATAAAATAATAGTAAAATTTTGTAATTATAATAGTAAACACCACACATAATTAGAACATTCTTTTATAGTCATTGATACAAAAATAGTTACTTGAGATCATACAAGAAAAATATTAAAAATTCATCCAAAAAACTCGAACAATATATAAATAGGAACATATATGATTGTATTGGCAAACGAACTACAACTGATGATTAAACTACTGAAAGACCATAAACAACTGCAAATCAAAGGCAAATATCGTGAGAAAATTATATAAGAACGCAACCACGTATCTAAATCTAATTTGTGGATCAAAAGCAAGAAATATCTATAGCATAACAAATAAACATAATCTTAATCAATCATGATGACGTCATATTATACCTTAAGAAAAATAAACGAAAACAACAATCAAATGATCAATAAAGAAGATCGAAAATGTGCCAAAAGGCAAATGGAAGTGTGCCATAAAAATAGAGTTATTAGAAAGAAATGAAGTTAAAGATGCGAGATAAGAAAATGAAGAAAAACTACAGATGATCGATGAGCAGCATCAAGATTGGTTTCGTCGCCTGCCAAATAAAAATTAAGAAAAAACCAACGAACCTAGGGTTTTAGGAGAAAATAAAAAATAAGTAAAAGTTAATCGAATTGACAAATGTTATTTTATCATTCAATTTTTAATTGAAGTTTTTCAAGTTAAGTTTATGAAATATCACCCGAGCCGAATCAAATATATTTGTTCAAATTTAAGTATCATTATTTAAAATATTGTGACATTAATTGATTTCAATTTAAATAACTCTTTTTTATAATTCAAGGTGAATTGCAAGTGGTAATATATGTTCTAGAGACTCTCAACCATTTGACAGTGAATGCTCAATACCCTGCAATTGCTAGTGCTCGAACCCATAACCTCTAAGGACAACAATCATCCCTTTAACCACTGAGGTAATTCCTGCAATTTCAATAATTCTATTTAACCATATTTGTGCAATTTCAATTTCAATACTTGGGAGCTCCCCAGTATAAAGTTTTAAATGATATTATTTCATGGATGTTTTATTTGTGGAAATGATCATTTTATAGTACAAGAAAAGAGTAAGGTGTTGGTCAGCCACTCTGGTGATTCCGTGTGGCATCCTACATCGGTCGTATGTGTATCGTGCTAATCTAGGGTGTTACATAAATACTTTGAATAAAAGACGTTAAAATCATTGTTATTAAAGTTTATTGTTTACTTTTTTAATTATTGCTATTTTGATCAAATTGCTTAGGATTTCACAAAATGATTCTATTGAAAATTGTCCACATTTATAAGTATTGCTATATGATATATTGATCACCCAGCTGTTAAAAGTGGACAGAAATCAAATTACTCTTAAACGGCATGTTATATGCACAACTCTATCACTATTAATGCAACTTTAAAATATCTAATTATTGTGCTAACAGCTAGCTTTAAAGATAAATATGTATTTATATAAATTAATTAAGTTTTTTTAGAAGATTATAAGATAATCTTTATTAATTTTTTTAGTATATTAACGACATACATATATTTTACAGATGTAACTATTTGAATTTATATTATTTAAAAGAAATAACATTCTATTTTATCACTAATGACACTCAATGAATTATTTAAAAAAAAAAAGAAAATATTACTATATTGATTATTACACCATGTTATCGATTAGTTTAGTGAAATAAAATGTTATGTCTAGTAAATAATATTTAATATTTTAAACATAAAAACTTAGATTGAAAAAATCATCTCATATAATAAACTTATATTGTATATGATTCAAAAACTAATTATAAAACTAATTATAAATAAAATCATTATTCTCTGAAATAGTTTTCAACGACAAAAAAATATGATATAGTAACAAATCAATCTAACGTCTCGATAATTAAATTATTCAATTTAAATAGCAGAAAATGATTTAAAGTCGAAGTAGAAAAAAACCTGGTAATATTTTAATTCTTGTAGGGCTGTTGGATGGTGGAAAAGAAGATTACATGAAGGAAAAGTTTTTCCTGAACGTAATTTTTATGTTTGGATTGTAAAGATTCTCAATAGAGAGTAATAAGTCATTTTCAACAGTAGAATTTTACGGATATTTTACCGGAATGTTAATTCCTCACAATTACTTAAGTATTTATCATTTCCTATGAGTTTAGACTAAAATGTCTTTAAAACGAAAGAGTTATTTCAAAAACATCCTTCTCCCTATTGTTGAAATAAAAGAATATTTTCTATGAAGAAAAAATTATAAATTTGTCCTTAAATTATTTTAGATTTACATAAAAGTCCACAATTAGAATTTTATATGAAGTTTAGGGGTTAAAATAAAATTAAACCTTTTATTAAATCCATTTATCTTTTAATTTTTTAAATAATATAAACTTTGTGAATTTAAATTTTATAAACAAAATATATAAATTAAAAACAATAAAAAAATATTTTCTATGATCTTTTATATAAATATTTTCATTTGAATGTTTAGAATTCAACTAGAGAAATATATCACAAGGATAATTTAGTACACTTCAGTAATCTTTTAATCCTTCAACCAAACGTTGTAATCTTACATTCCTGCCAAACAAACCAAACGCAATAATATAATATTCTCAGTAATGTGTCAAATAATGTTACATTTCGATAATCTTATTCCCAAACATAATTTTACATTCCATGAACCAAACTCCCTATAAGTTTACTTATCCAAATCCACGTCATGTCATAAAAGCAATGCAATTAATTCAAAGTTTGTAAAATGGTCCATGGCAAATGGCATTTAAGAAAGTAGATTTGTTATTATGAATAGCCAAAAGTGAAAGGAGCCTTTTCCAAGCTTCAAAGATCTCTAACACTAATTAAATCATGGTCACCATCTACACTAAAATAAGTTTGAATTCATCCAAAGGTGATCATTTTGTTTACGCCATTTTTTATATTTTTTCTGAATTTTTTTTATCAAGAAATTGCACCTAAATAAAAAAAAATATTTGAATAGAAACTCAAATGAATATCTTGAAAAATCACATGGATCATGAACTATGATGTGCAAATAAATGTATTATGGTTGGTGATGTATCCTCTCCTCTGTTGTAGTTGTCAACGAAATTATGATTAGCTCAACTAAAATAACTCTACATCTGCTATGCATTAAATATATATGACTTAATAGCTAATTTTTTTTTCAATGCTTTTAATTTAATTCGATTCTTACATTATTTTTTAAGTTTTATTTTTCAATTTATTGATAATATATTTTTCTTTATGAAAATTAAATCGTAGTCTTATTTTATTTCTTTTCCTTTGTTTTTTATTGGTACATTTTTCTTTTTCAGTGTTGTGTGTTCCACTGTAACTTACTATCATTGTATACTAAAATCGAGCATTTTAAATTTCAAGGAAATATTTACCGTTGACATTTTTTTGTCAAAAATAAATTTACTACGTAATCTATCAAATAGATTTATTTAAATAATTATATTTTTAAAAAAAATTAAAATATATCTCTATCAAATAGATCCCTTAGCTTTCTAGGGTTTTTGAATCTGGCAACACGTTTTACAGTATTTTCAAATTGGCCACCAAAATTAATTCGGGGATTTAGAAAAAAATTATCAGATGTTATGATTTTTAATTAGGGTTAAATTAGGGTGTTACACCAATTTTCTATGAATTATTGACTTTATTTATGATTTTTTACACCTATTTATAATTTTAATTTTTTTATATATCGTACTCTTGTCGTCTCCGTACCCTGTAATTTTAGAAATTACCGTTTTCCGTCCCCGTCCCCGTCCCTGTATCTATCCATATTAGTGCAACATAGGTTTTAACTGCTATCTTAATATGATCACTATTCTGAAATTTCAATTATAATTTGATTTAATTTTTTAGTGTAGACTGAATGTTGTGTGTATTCACAATATGGGAAAGGCTTGTCTACCACCTTTTCTTTGTAGAAAGGCTGCCATTATCTGAAAGCCTACAATGTGGTTTACTTGGCACATGGATTTGTTCAACCATATTATATCCTGATGAATATGAGAAGAATGTGTAATGCCACTTCAATTAGATGAACGAAGTCATATTTAGCTTGTTTAATTGGCACGTGGATATGTTTATGGGTATTCTAACTTTTAGCTTGTTTCATAGTTTTTCTATTAATAAGGTTCGTGTTTTCCACATCATTTGAGTTCAGTTTTAGTGCTAGACATTGTTATTAATTTGGGCATTCTTCTTCATCTTATTCCCGGAATATGTAACAGGGCTACATGCAGAAGTTATTAGCGTTAGAAAAGCAGCCTATATTTCATCATGTTGTGGTTCGTTGTTTTTGTACTTTGCTTGATGCTGTTCCTCACTTCAACTTCAGAGAAAGCTTGTTAGTAGCTGTTGTCAGAAACTTAGGCTCCTCAGATGATGTTGTAAGGTATATTGTATTGATGTTCTTTGGAATGCTACAAATTGTTCAGTGATTTATTAAAGTTTTGACGGTATTAATGGGAATTCCATATTTTAGTAGTATAATTGAACTTGCACAACACAATTAAACTCCAAAGCAGTGTGCCAACAATTTCATTCCACAATGTGTAATGAGTTTGAGTTCGTGCTAAAGAAGATTAATCCCATTAATCATCTGGACCCATACTATGATAATTTCATGCATAGCTGAATGGCAAGTGATCTATCACTTCCTGTTGAAGAAAGCTCCTGCTACCTCTCTGCTATTTAGCCACTGTGCTTGCCTGTTAATCCTCACCAAATGGCCAAATCCATGCAAACTATGGAGTATATTACAAATATTGTTTCGCTTGATTTCTTACAGAATTCACTTGAATATCATTAATAAAAATTGTAATGTTCTCAAGTTTTCTGTATCATCCTGGATCACCTTGGATATTAATTTCTTGCACCTTTAAAACATGCTACTATTATTGCTTCAGTAATGATTGCATGAAGTGCATCTTTGTTGCTTTTTTCTTTTCCAACGAAAGTACTTATCACTTGCTTACAGGAGACTTTGCTGTTCAACTATGAAGTCACTTGTTACCAATGAGGGGAAACATGGCGGTGAAGCTACTGTTGAGGCCGTTCGGTTGATTGCAGATCATGTCAAAGCCCATGATTGTCAACTGCATCCTGATTCTGTTGAGGTATTGGATAGTACATTTCATGCTGCACTGCATTTATAGTTCTTTATTGTACCTTTTGCTTTTTTTCCAATTATTGGTAACTGGTAAGCTGAACTTTATGTGATTGGTATCTCCTAGTAAAGACTATGATTATCTCCTACACTTCAACTTGTTATAACCGTTTTTCGGCGGAACAATTTTTTATTGTTTTAAAACCAGTTACGACTTTTAATTTGGAAAATTTGGGTGATTTGGAATTAATTTGGATAGAATTTGTATAGAGTCGCCATCGACCTTTGGGTTAGGTAGGTCGAATACCTAAAAATGTCTTTTAAAAAACAATTTTAAGAAAAATCATTTTTTAAGACAAAAGTTGATCGGCCTTTGGGTTAGGTAGGTCGAACACCTAAAAACATCTTTTAAAAACAATTTTAAGAAAAAATCGTTTTTAAGACAAAAGTTGGTCTGTGCTTACCAAAGATTCGAATAAAATGGGTTCGAGAGTCGATTACGCATGAGGAAGGACTAGCACCCCCACAGCGCCCAAAATTGGTACTGTGTTGCTTACACGTTGTCGTAATGATGGAAATCCTGAATCAAATATCAAGTTAAAATATGATTCATTTATTGAATATTAATTAATTTGCATCAAATTGATAACTTCAATTAGGAAATTCAAAGGACTGAAATAAAAACAAATAAATATTACAAATCTAAATATAAAATAGTAAAAATAAGTATTTAAATTTATAAAGACCAAAATAAAGGGAAAAACAAAAACCTTAAGGATCAAAATAACAAAACTAGAAAATAAAAGGGCTAAAATGGCATAACAGACATTTAAAAGACTAAATTAATAAAAATATAAATTTTGAAGACCAAATGTCATAAAATGAAAGTTAAAAGACTAAAATGGCACAAATAGAAACTTTTAAAACAATAATTACAAAGACTTAAAGGACTAAAATGATATTGATAAACATTTAAAGTACTAAAATAACAAAAAAATATTAAATTATTAAAATAGCAAAAACAAACATTTAAAAGGATTAAAATAATAAAACATAAATTAAATGGTTGAACATAAATTTTAAATAAACCAGATTTATATTACAAATATTAAATAGTACAAGAACTAGAATGAAAAAACCCCAAAAATGAAATTTAGAACTAAAATGCAATAAATAAAAAACTTGAAGGTTGAATCACAATTAAACCAAATTAAAACAAGGATTAAAGCAATATATTTACAAACATTATAGTCAAATTCGAATGATATCAAAAATACATAAATACATTAAATCAATGACTTGAATGCAAATTCATAAACCAAAAGAACAATTTATAAAATATACAAAATTCATATAATGATATTAAGGTGACCAAAATATACTATTTATAAACGTGATGCATGAAATACAATATAAATAAAACATGTAGGTGACTAACATAAACATACAAAACATGGAAACATCTTAAGTTTAATTAACCCACGATAAAATTACAAACAAATCCCTTTTCAAAACTACGTAGTTTTGAATATAATATATATATGAAATTATAAGCTAAAACCAAACCCTCCTCATTTGGTTTATTTCCTGAAACACAAAGAAAGAGAGAGTGAAATACTCTCTTAATTTCCTCTCGCCTGGGAAGAGAAAACGAGACGTCGTCGGCATCAGCCACGACGATTCGCGGCGGCGAACGGCGGTCGGAGTAAATCTAAACCCTCAATCGAATCCTCTCAACTCCCTCTACTCGAAACCCAACCTATTAGAAACTAAGACCAAACCCTAAGCCTTAGATCTAAAATAAATCAATGTTATTACCTTCGATCAAACTTGGATCTCCGGCGACGTTTGGCTTCAGATGATGAGTAACGCTTCAAGGGTAAGTTCTCTTTTTTCTTTGTCTTCTCTTTTTTTCCCGTTTTTCTGCTCTATTAGAATCCCCCCCTTTTATACTTGCTTGTAATGGAGTGTGGGACTCGGATTTGGTAAATAAAATCACAAAAAACCAAGATTTATGTATTTGAAATGGCTTAGTGGATCTTTGAGATAATATTTTTATTATTTGGTGGGTTAGGTCGGATATAATTGATTTGTGTTTTTTTAGTGATATTTGGCGTAAGGGATGACGATGGTTGATCGACGGTGGCTTGGGACATTCGGCGGTGAAGGCTCGGCGGTGAAGAGGTGTTCACTGTTCTGTTGCGGCGGCATGTACAATGGACTGGGATGATTGGTGGCGCTGGCTTAGATTGATAAGGGATTAGGGTTAGAAAAACCCTAATCTTAAATGATCTGGTTTAAGTTACGGGTCGAGCCTAGATCCGAGTAGGACTCGGGTCGGATCTGCTGTTGGGTCAATCTACTTAGGCTGTTGTATGGGTTGTTTATCTGGGCTCCTGATCTGCTGGATTTTGGTATAATGTGGGCCTGCAAACATTGTAACCAAAATTATTATTAATACTACTACTAATAATAATAATAATAAATATAATAATATAATATTTTTTAAGCCCGGTCAAAAACGGGTGTCTACAGCTGTCTCTCTTTTGCATATTCTTGTGTTAACAAGAATAAGGAAAAGATAAAAAGACAACCAGTTTTTGTCTGGTCTTCTTTTTTAGCCTTTGATTTGGATATCATTCGTTGTAAAGCGTTGGATTGAACAAGTTCTTCTCATTATGAACTTCTTTTCTCTTGTTAGATGAGTTCTTCTCATTATTAACTCTCTATTGGAAATGTTGATCCCTCAAGCGAGTCGTCACTGATTCGAAATGTCATGAATCGAATGATAGGTCTAACAAGTTCTTCTCATTATGAACTTATTCTCCATCTGTCGGATGAGTTCTTCTCATTATGAACTCTCCATTATAAATGTTAATCGGTTTATCTTCTCTCTGAAGATTTTCAAACCTCTGCTAACTTTGGAAATCCTGTCAAATATTCAACATCTGGATGAAAATGAATAAGAAATCTGTTTAAGAGAAGCTCTCTCGAGTGAGATAAAATTTCTTGTTTCAAGGGAAAATTGTCTCAAGCAAGACGAAATTGGTTTTAAGAAAAACCATCTCAAGTGAGATACATTTCTTGTTTCAAGGGAAACTGTTTCAAGAGAAACTGTCTCAAGAGAGAGAGAAATTGTTTCAAGGGAAATTGTCTCAAGCGAGACGAAATTGGTTTTAAGAAAAACCATCTCAAGCGAGATACATTTATTGTTTCAAGGGAAACTGTCTCAAGAGAGAAAGATTTGTTTCAAGGGAAACTATCTCAAGCGAGACAAAATCTTCTGTTTCGAGAGAAACTATCTCAAGCAATACAAAATCTTCTGTTTCGAGGGAAACTATCTCAAGCGAGATAAAATATTCTTTTTCGAGGGAAACTATCTCAAGCGAGATAAAATCTTCTTTAAAAACAATCTTGAGTGAAATGAAATGTCTTATTTTGAGTAAAAATCGTCTCAAGCGAGTCAAATCTTGTTTTAAGAAAAACAATCTTGAGTGAAATAAATCTTCTTGTTTCAAGTAAAAACTATCTCAAGTGAGACAAATTCTGTTTTTAAGAAAAACAATCTCAAGTGAGATAAATCCTCTGTATTAAATGAGGTTGTCTCAAGCGAGACAAAATTTCTATTGGAAATGTTGAATCTGAAGATGATTGTTCCCTCTTGTTGAGGACGTCTTGTTGTCTTTTAATCTCTTCTTCTCCTAAAAGATCTGTAAAATGTACCTGGATGCAACTATCCTGATGATGGATGTTTGATGCAAAGATGCAAATTCATGTATGTATAATGCATGTTCTTCTTGATTAATATCTGTTAAAATGTGCTCAAACAATCTTGGTTTTCTTCCTGATCTGTTTGTCTTCATTCTTCTTTCACACCAAGGTGTACCATCACATTTCTTTGCAAACATCTGCTTTCATGGCTCCCTATCACATTTTTTTGCCCCAATTTATGATTCTGAGCTCCTAGGTCTGAGGGACCTCTGTAAATTTCCAGGTTAAACTCTCCAGAGAGATTGTCATGTTTGAAAATATTTTCTTTCTTTTTATTTTCAAAATATGGAAAGTTTGTTTTAAGAAAAACATCATTCTTTTAGGCTCACAATTGAAGACAATCACAGAACATGAGTTCAGTAAATATCAAGAAAATCAACAGCTCTTTTAATCTTTCAAAGTTATACCTCTTTGTTAAGTGTCAAAATTGATGGGTTGGTTTCAGGTTAGCTCCTTAAAGTTTCTAAGGTTTCAGTCATCGAAATGTTATTTCTTGTTCGGTCTCTGTGAACCTTACGACATGCCCCTCTCCTTTGGCTTGGCATTTTAATTAGATGCTGACAAAATGATGCAACTAGTATAATCAATCATTAGACTTTCTAGAATGCTTCTGTTTCGGTTCTCTGAAATCTTTCATTTGTTCAAGCTTCATAGACTTCCTTTAACAAAGGTAATGCAGGGATATAAATCTAAACATAAAATTCTTGTGTGCTTGTGTGAGGTTGAATATAACAAGTGCTCCCCGATTCCCTTAGTCCATTTTCATCGAAACTCATTATTATATCAAATTGATTTAATTTGCCATTGTCTGGCTAGCTGAATTCAGCTTAATTGTATATACTTATAATCACCCTTAATGGGCTAGCTGAAGGGTTCGTCTCATCACAAGATCTTTGACTTGACAATTACAGTGGAGCAAACACCGAACTGTCGAGTATCTGAATAATGTCATGGTTCGAATGCAATCTATTCATAAAGCCAGGGCTTTTGAGTTGTCTCTATAACCAATTGCTTTAGCGGAATAGCTCAGCTTTATTGTATAATCTATAGTAATAATTTATTAGCTTTTTTTTTTAGCATTCAAATTTAAAATCTCTTAAGCTCATCGAGAAGAACCTGTTATAGTCTAGGTGTCCTTAATTGTCAAGAAATCTCACATTTAGAATTTAGTTCCCAAACAACTGACCTAAACTAAATTCATCTATTCCACCATTCCATTTGTGAAGATTAGTATCATCA